AGTAGCAAGTTTGGCTCAAGGGACTGGCTCTAAGCGCCCCGCAAACATCACCTGGACTGCCATCGGCGTCGATTCTGCCCCCGCCGCGCCCATGGCTGCCTTCACCGAGATGCTCGGCCACTCCCTCCTGGGCCCTGGCGGCGAGGTCACCGAGACCGCCGCGGCCCTCTCGGGCAAGGGCGCCATCGCGCTCTACTTCAGCGCGCACTGGTGCCCGCCGTGCCGCGGCTTCACGCCCCAGCTCGCCGAATGGTACAGGAAGGACCTGCAGGCCAAGGGCCTGGAGGTGGTCTTCGTGTCCTCCGACAGAGACGAGGCTGCGTTCAAGGAGTACTTCGCCGACCAGCCCTGGATGGCTCTGCCCTTCGTGGAGCGCGATGCCAAGGAGAAGCTGTCCAAGATGTACAAGGTGAATGGCATCCCCTCGCTGGTTATCCTGGACTCCGACGGGAAGATCATCACGACGGAAGGCCGAGTTGCCGTCAGCGAAGACCCGACCGGCGCGGAGTTCCCGTGGAGGCCGAGGCCGGTGAAGGAGCTCCTGGCCGAGGCGAAGCTCGTCGGGCCCGCTGGCGAGCTGACGGTGCAGCAGGCGATGCAAGAGAAGAAGGCGCTCGCGCTCTACTTCAGCGCGCACTGGTGCCCGCCATGCCGCGGCTTCACGCCCAAGCTCGCCGAATGGTACAGGAAGGACCTGCAGGCCAAGGGCCTGGAGGTGGTCTTCGTGTCCTCCGACAGGGACGAGGCTGCGTTCAAAGAGTACTTCGCCAGCCAGCCCTGGATGGCGCTGAGCTACGCCGACAGGAATCTGCAGAAGAAGTTAAACAAGGCCCTGAAGGTGGAGGGCATCCCGACCCTCGTCATCCTGGACGCGGACTTGAACGTGGTCACGACCGATGGTCGCGGCGCCGTCGCAGCCGACCCCACGGGGGCCGAAATGCCCTGGTACCCGAAGCCCGTGAAGCAGCTCAAGGACGGCCCTGGAGACATCAACGAGGTGCCAACGCTGCTGATCTTCTGCGAGTCCAGCGACGCCGCGGGGGTGGACGCCCTGACGCAGGCCCTCGAGCCCCTGGCGGCGAAGTACATCGAGCAGGCGAAGGCGACTGGCCAGGACCCGGACTTCTGCTTCATGCTGGCGGCAGAGGGGGCAGATCTCGCCCCGAGAGTCCGCGGCATGGTGGGCCTTCCGGAGACGCCCAGCGCCGGGGCGGTTCCGCGTATGGCCCTCATCGACATCCCAGACCAGGGCGGCTACTACCTCGCGGCAGAGGGCTCGGAGGTCACCGCCGCCTCCGTTGAGCGCTTCCTCGCCGACTACAAGGCGGGGGCGCTGGAGCGGAAGCAGCTGAAGTGACCGACGCCGAAGCCTCGTCCCGAGCTCGGAAAAAAATGAGAGCGCGGTGCCCCGATGTTCACAGTGTTGGGCGCGCCGCGTGCTGGACAGATGGGACTAAGCACTCATCGTTTCGTGGCACTCTCCCTTCTCTCGAAAAAAAGTGCGTCCGCAAGGGCCTGCCTCCACAGCAGGTGGCTAAAGAGCATGAAGATGTTGAGACTGGAGCCCCTTTGTCGTACATTCTCTGCCCACCGAGTTTTTTTTTGTTTCAGAGTTTTGCTTGGTGTCACAGGATTTCTCCCGTGCCCCCACTGCTCCCTCCTTTTCTTCGTCCCCCGCTCCTTCCTCCCTTCGCCCTTCTTCGGGCCCCCAATCGAAACGTGTCTTGCGCAGCACACACCCCGCTGCCATTGAGGTGTAATGGGCTTCGCCTGATTCGGACGCTCCCCGGCCGCTGGTGCGACCATGTGGGCCAGAGCGTTGACATCAGAATGGGAAGACGAAACATCGACACAACGCACTGGTGTCAGTGTCGCTTTCGCTGTTGCGTCCGTCTGGGCCAGCTCGCTGTCATCAGAAAGGGAAGGCAAGCTATTGATGCAACGTAGAGGTGTCCGCGTCACGGGGTATCTCATGGCTTGTTCCTAGCAGGCGAGGTGCCGATGTCGAGCAGTGGGTTTCCTCCAAGCAAGCAGGAGTGGAACTCAGGAAGGTACGGACAAGCATGTGTCGGGATCTCAAGTGTATGACTTCTTGCCAGTATAGCTGCTAAGCGGAACTTCAGCGTCTCAACAAACCCTCACGCACTTCACCACTGAATGCAGGAATATAATACGCGTTATAATAATAGGAAAGCACGAGGAGGGGCAGGAGATCAGGACGAGAGCACACTCAGAGATGTTCAACTCCCAATTTGAACGTTTTGGCCATCCCTGGGGAATGAGGGCTGAGGAGCAGCTCCAATGCACTAGCGGGGGTTCGTTTTGCAGTCGGTCCTCCTCCCCCTCTCCTTCCTTCCCCTTCCTCCTCCTCCTCCTCCTCCTCCTCCTCCTCCTCCTCCTCCTCCGCCTCTTCCTCCTCCTCCTCTTCCTCCTCCCCTGGGGGTTAGGAGGATGCCAAACTTAATTGGAGGCAGGGAGGAGGATAGAGGATGGGGAAGGAGGATGCCAGCAGCAGCAGCAGCAGCAGCAGCAGCAGCAGCAGCAGCAGCAGCAGCTGCAAGGCACTTTTGAAGGGTTCGGAGGTTACAGGGAGCATGAGGAGCATGCGCCGAAGCTGGATGCAGGAGGCATGATGATGGGAAGGTGAATGAGGAGGAGGAGAAGGAGCAATTCTGGAGGAGAAGGATGGGGCGGATGACGGTGGAGGGTGAGGTGGAAAAGGAAACAGGGAAGGCAGGGAAGGAACCTCGCAGGAGCAGCAGCAGCAGCAGCAGCAGCAGCAGCAGCAACGTTTCTGGACTACGCCACAGGAAGATGACGATGATAACGAGGGTATGGCGGAGGGGGGAGCTGTGGAGGATGATGCAGCTGATGATATGCTGCTGATGATGAAGCTGATGATGCTGATGATGATGCTGATAATGATGACGTTGATTCATATGACGATGCGGATTCCGATGATTGAACGTCTGCCGATGATGATGCTGCTGATGATGGCGATTACGGCGATATTGTTGCTGGTGATGATGATGCCGATGATGTTGATGAGGATGATGAAGGTGATGATTATGATATGTGCCTGTGGGTTTCTGAGTGTGTGTATGTAATGTCTCTGTGTGTGTGTGTGTGTGTGTGTGTCTGTGTGTGTCTGGTTGTGCGTCTGTGTGTGTGTGTCTGTGTGTGTGTGTGTGTCTGTGTGTGCCTGTGTGTGCCTGTGTGTTTGTGTGTGCCTGTGTGCGTCTGTATGTGTGTGTGTGTGTGTGTCTGTGTTTGCCTGAGCGTGTCTGCATGGCTGTGTGTCTGTCTGTCTGTCTGTGTGTGTGTGTGTCTGTTTGTGTCTCTGCTTGTCTGTGTGTGTGTGTCTGTGCTTGTGTGTGTGTGTGTGTGTGTGTGTGTGTGTTTGTGTGTGTGTGTGTGTTTGTGTGTGTGTGTGTGTGTGTCACTGTGTGTGTGTGTGTGTCGGTGTGTGTCCCTGTGCGTGTCCGTGTGTGTGTGTGTGTGTGTTTGTGTGTCTCGACGGCGTCCGACAAACCAGGAACGCCCTAAGACGGCCAAAGAGGCCCCCGAGACACCCCCAAAGGCCCCCCAACAACTCTCCAAGAGGCCCCCAGGAAGCTCCCAGGAGGCCCCAAGAGCGCCCTAAGAGGCGCCCAAGAGGCCTCCTCCTCCTCCTGTTTTTCCGCATCCTCCCCCTCCTCTTCTTGTTCCCCCACGCGTTCCCCGAAGTCCTTCCAAACCGACTCGGGGAACACCTGGCCCGATAGCTTGGCCAAGCTCTGGCCCAGCTGTCGGCCACAGAGGCGCGTCCAAAGGGGCAGGGGCTATCCTGATGATCGTGCTGCTGATGATGCTGAATATGCTGATGTGGTCGTTGATGCCGAGGATGGCGGCGATCCTGATGATAATTCTGACGATGACTATGCTGACCATGCCGATGGTGCAGCTGATGCTGATTATGCTGATGCTAATGTTGATGTTGATGATGACGATGAAGAAGTGGTGATGCTTAGGTTGCTGATGATGCTGATGATGCTGATGATGATGATAACGACGATGATGATGCTGATGACGACGACGATGATGATGCTGATGATGATGATGCTGACGATGATGATGACGACGATGCTGCTGATGAGGCTGCTGGTGTTTATGATGATGCTGTTGATGATGATGATGCTCATTATGCTGGTGACGACGATGCTGCCGAGGCTGACGATGCTGCTGCTGCTGATCATGATGATGCTGCTGATGACAATGATACTACTGAGGATGATTACGATGACGATGATGCTACTGCTGCTGTTGATTCTTATGCTGCTGATGCTGACGATGATGATGCTGATGCAGATGCTGACGCTGCTGCTGTTGATGATGATGATGATGATGATGATGGTTATGACGATGATGGTGGTGGTGATGATGGCGATGACGATGCTGACGATGATAACGACGATGATGATAGTGATGCCGACGGTGACCATGATGCTGGTGACGACGATGACGGCGATAACGACGATGCTGCCATTGATGATATTTTTGCGTTTGATGACGATGGTCCTGATGATGTTGCTGATGACGCTGGTGTTGCAGATGGTGGTGGTGATTACGACGATGCCGATGCTGCTGATGATGATGCTGATGATGATGATGATGATGATGATGATGATGATGATGATGATGGTGGTGGTGGTGGTGGTGGTTGTGGTGGTAGTGCTGACGATAATGGGTGAGGGTGATGACCCTGCTGCTGGTGACGAGGATCGGGAGAAGATGGTTTATGAGGGATGATGAGGATGACGATGAGGAAGCGGAGGTTGAAGAGGAGGAAGACGGAAACGGAGGAATAAGGACGACAGGGGAACCCGAGGAGGACGGAGAGGGACGGGTAGGAGGAAAAGTTGGAGGATGACGAATGGAACCATGAGAAAAAGGATGGTAGTTGTGGCAGGAACAGCTGTACCACCCTGCGTACTTCAAGACGGTCACGTGCCAGGAGTGTACCACCTCGTGCGCGGCGCATTCGTGGCGCTCACCCCCCGTCATTTTCTCTGTCCCTCTCCCTCCCTCCCTCCCACCCTCTCTATTGTTTTTCTCATTATAGATACATGCGTCTATCGCCATCTGTACCCTTATCCCTCGCCCTGTTTTTTTCTGCTCTCTCTCTCTCTCCTCCTCTTTCTTTTCCCACTCAGCTCTTGCTCTCTCTCTCTCTCTCACTCTCCCTCTCCCTCTTCCTCTCCCTCTCTCTCTCTCTCTCTCTCCCTCCTCCTCGGGCCGAACGACAGGGGGGGGGATAGGGAAAGGTGGGGTTACGAAATCTGCTGCACGCACCTGGCTTCGGCCTCGCCGCCGGGCCCATTCCTCGACACATGGGCGCCTCCCGGCGCCGGGAGGCGCCAGGAAAGTCAGCTACGTGAGCTGATTCTCACCCACTTCCCTTTGCTATGCCCCCCTTTCGCCCGACCCGACTCACTCCCGCTCTGTGGCTGCTTGGTGGTGTGCTGGTGCCCAGGGGGAACGGTAGGACAGACAGGACGATCTTCGAGGATATCGGGGAGCATAACAGAGTAGAGCACAACAGAGTAGCGCAGAGCAGAGTAGCAGATGAGAGTATAGGAGAGTACAGGAGAGGAGAGGAGAGGAGAGGAGCGTAGAGTAGAGTAGGATAGAGTAGGATAGAGAAGGAACAGAGTAGAATAGAGCAGGAATAGAAGAGACTCAAGTCAGCCAGGTCGAGTGAGTCAGAAGGCCCCGCCTCTTCCCATCCTCCCCCCCACAGCATAAGAGTCGAGGCACACCTTGATGCTAGGAGGAGCAGGCGGGAGGGGAGGAGGGAGGAAGAGATGGGGGAGGAGGGGGAGTGGCCTCGAAACGACGGCGTTTGCACGCAGCGATCCACCAGAAGCGCCACGGTTGCTCACCACACGGTTTTGGCCCCCAGGGTTCCGGACAGAAGCCCAAGACAGCAGGTAGTCTCGGAGCGCGCTCCCGCCTCGCAAACGGTTCGCTCGCGGCCCCGCTTCCGGCGACTTTGACAGAGGGAAGCTCACGCGGGCCGCGCCAGGGCGGGAGCGGCACCACCTCCACTGGGCGCGGCGAAGACGAAGCGTGCGCCGCGCTGACGCAGCACCGTCGCTTCCACCTCCTCCTCCTCCTCCTGCTCCCCCTGCTCTCCCTCCTCCTCCTCCTCCCCCTCCTCCTCCTCCTCCCCCTCCTCCCCCTCCTCCTCCTCGTCCTCTCCTCCTCCTCCTCCTCCTCCTCGTGCTCCTCCCCCTTTTTTGAGGTCGGCACTTTTTGCCCGCTCTCGCGCAGCCCCGCTGCCGCCGTTGCTGCAGCAGTGCGGCGCGGCGACAGCGAGCCAGGCGCCGCCGCCGGCGCGGGAGCGCCACGGCCGAGCGGAACGCGCACGGAGCTTGGGCGAGAACGGCAAGCGGCCCTCTCGCGCGGGCCCTCCTCCTCCTCCTCCTCCTCCTCCTCCTCCTCCTCCTCCTCCTCCTCTCTCTCTCCTCCTCCTCTCTCCTCCTCCTCTCTCCTCCTCCTCTCTCCTCCTCCTCTCTCCTCCTCCTTCTCCTCCTCAGATTGGCGGTGGAAAGATATTCGCCGCGTCGAGGCGGGAGCGCCACTTGCAGGCGAAAGCTGCGCGGCGCCGAGGCGAGAGCGACATGTCGGCCTTACGCGCGGGATGTGCGCGGCAGGTAGGATGAGACCTCGCGGGTCTGGCCCCGATCGGCTGGTTGTGTGGCAGAGGCACGGACCAACAAGGAATAAGGATAGCAGGGCAGAGTAGAGTAGAGTCGAGTAAAGTCGAGCCGGGTAGGGTAGGGTAGAGTAGGTTAGTTAGGGTAGAACAG